TATTATGGCTTAAGATTCCCCCCTCAAAAGAGGGGGGTTTAAAAAATTTTAAAAAATTTGCAGTTACATTAAACAAAGTACTAGCGGGATAATCATAAGTAATATTTTACTGAAAATGCAGAAATAAATTTTCAAGTTATTCATCGCCAAATTTGTCGTTTCTCATAGTTATTAAAAATTCTATTAAGTTAAAAAATTTGCTTCTCTTGAAATAAAGTCATCCTGTACACATCTACAGTACTGGTAAAACCTAAAATAACTTTAGCTCTAAAGGTATTTTTTACTTTAAAGGGGTTATAAGGAGTTTCACCTTTAGAGCTGAAACTGTTTAAAAAGTATTTTTTACCTTTAGAGCTTAAAGGTGTTTTTACCTTCAGAACGAAAAGTATTTTAAAGTTGAAGTTGGTATTAAAGGTAATTTATCTCAATAAAAAAATTATTTCTCACAAAACATCAGCATCATAAAACATTCGTTTATATTTTCAAAAAGAAAAAAAAATTTTTAGAAATCTTATTTCAATAAATTTCCTAGATACTGCGAAATCTTGTCATAAAAATCCTTTAAAACTGAGATTTATCAGCTGAACCAATAACCATAAAAAGTTAATAACATTTCCTTCGCAGCATTTTTAAAAATAGATTTCGGTAGCTTTTTTTTAAGAACTTTGCTTCTGTAAAGTAAACTCATTATGGCCTTTTGTCAATAAAAAGAAAAACCATTATTAAGATGATTCAGTATTACGATATTCATGATGTGATTGGTATTGAGATACTAAAAGCTTCTTCCTTTTCTTGCAACTAAACACGCATGCAACCTATATTTTTTCCGCCCATCTTTAATACAAGCTATCACAATTAAGTATTTTATGTAGCTATCACAGTTATTCCAACATATACTTTTACCTTTTCAAGTCGATAATAACATTGATTTGAACAAAGTTTCTTTCACATAAAATGCTTTTCAATTATTCTATTAATAATTATAATTCTCATATTTCGAAAGCGTACTGATTATGGTTCAGGCAACAATTATTTTAAACGCTAAAACTGATTCTTGACAACATAATGCATTTAGAGAGAGAGCTTTTACTTAATATACATTACTTCGTTTCCTCTATTTCAGCGTCTAAGATTTTCAAGAAAAATCTTTAGCTAAACTATCTAAAAACAGCAGATAGCAGATAAACTCTTGTTGTCCCACTGAATTCTAAAGTTCAAAACTCTTGACGCAAACGCAAACATTCTCTTTAAAAATTAATTGCGCCAAAAAGTATGTTTCAATAATGCTAGGAAATATAAGGCTTGATTTGGTTTATTTGATTACGGCAATGCCCTCGAGGGCTATCTGCCTAAGGAAAGGAATGCCTTCTTTGAAGACTTTCTAAGGCAAACTGGATTGTTCAACGTTAAGCATGGGAAAAACCACGAAAACGCCCATGCAGGCAGCCGATAACGAACTCAATTCGAAGTACTACTGTTCAGGGACTTTACCGCTCTGGCCACTGGTGAGCCAAGAAGCATAAGGAAACAACAAATTAAGATTAATGTCGTAAATATTTAACATATTTCTTTTATATACTGGTATCTCATAATATCTCTGATTTAAGTTTGAATAAGTTATACTGCAGTTTAGTATAATGCGCCTAAACTGCATTTCCTTGCTTCACTTAGTTTATTTTATTTATACGCTTCTTTGACATTTTGCATATGCTAACCAAATTGCCTATTTTCACGTTTTACATACCGTATACATACCGCATACTTGCATTAAAGTCTCTACAGTCGCAAACATAAATAAATAGCTGTGTGATATATATATATATATATATATATATATATGTATTTTAAATTTAATTTCTGACGCTGGAAACGCAAAAAAATTTTTGGTGGAGTCATTCTGAGAATTTTTGGACCCTTATTTTATGCTACCATGCATATTCATGCTCTCGCCTTGGCAAGTGTTGCCAATGAGGGAAACAAAAATTCCATTCAACAATTTTTTTTCCATTCCTTTTGCCTGTAAAGAGTTTTCAGAATGTTACCATTCGTCAAAACAAAATGCTTTCAATTTATATTTTGAATTTAACCGATATGCAATTGGTTAACAAACTGAGCGATTTAAAAGCCATAAACATATTCCTTAATTATTTAAATCTTAATTTTGATTTTTTTCAATATATGCCTAATTGATCTAAATTAAAAAAAATTAAAATATATAACTATGATTAACATATTATTTAGTACAGAGCCTTATATTATGTAGTACAGAGTCGTTCGGTTTCTGTTATCTTATTATTTTACGGTCTTATATATTCGTTACCGAATATATTAAACTGACATAAATGTGTTACGTCTAAGTATTTTATTTCATATGTTTCTACTTAGTTTTAATAATGCTATCATTAGTTAAACTTTTATTATTGGAAATTTCATATTGTTTTCTCTTTAAAATGTGTAAGAATGAATTTTTTTTAATAGCCAGTTAATTTTATAAATTTGTATCATTTAGGACCTGGGCATAAGCTTTATTAAAATTTGTATTTGTTAGTTTTTATTTGTTTTGGTTTTTATTTTTTATACCTCAGCTGGTTGAATTTTAGTTCTAAAAGTCTAGATTTCCTTATAACATTTACTTTTTTTTTAAATAAAAGAGTGTCGCCCTTTTATGTATATTTTTTTATTTTATTGACTGTCAACCTTATATTAATTAAGTATTCTTTTGTAAGGCTCAGGTATAATTTTGAAATTTTATGATATATTTTACTTTAAGACCTTTTTATTTACTCTCTTTGCCTAATATATTTTGTTTAAATACCGTTACGATGCGTTTTGTTTTCCATAGAAGAATTGAGTGATAATAATAATAATAAAAGTCATTGTTAGTTAACTACGCAGCATCTTTAACGTATCTTTCAAAGTGTAAGCGGCCGAGCGGTAAAGACGCTGAACACTGGTAGTTCGGTCCGAGGTTCGAATCCCGCAAACGGGCTGGCTGCATGGGCGTTTTCGTGGTTTTCCCCATGTGTAACGTGTATACGAGCCAGTTTCCCTTAGAAAGTCCTCCACGAAAGGCATCCCTCCCCTTAGGCAGATAGCCCTAGTGTGCTTTGCCATAATTAAATACATCACACCACCAAAGTGTAAGTACACCATTGGCCGATTAGGTAAGATAGTTGAACACTGGCAGTTTGACCCTAGTTAATATCTTGGAAAATGTCTTGCTGCATCAGCGATTTCGTGGTTTTTTTTTTTTTTTTTTTTTTCCATGTGTAATGTAAATACAAAAATATACTCCACGAAGTTATTCCTTCTTTTAGGATGACAATCCCCGCATGCTTTACCATAATCAGTTAACTAAACCACATTTTTAAAATAAATAAACAGTATCTTTTAATGGAATATTATATCTTTTATTATCTGTAACAGTATCTTTTATTGAAACAGTATAAGACAGTGAACCTCTTTACATTTTGATACCTCCCAACGAAGCAAAATTGTTAATCAAATACATGTCGTTTGGACAGTAACTGCTGTGCAGTAGTTTCAGGGTATTATATTTTTATCTATTTATCTGCCATGTAGCAGTTACCTATATTCCGTAAATAGCTTCGTATAAAACTAAAGGAAAAAAAGCAAAATCATGTGATGGTAAAGCCTGCTGTTCTTATATCTATACCTAAATACTTTCAGGCTGATTATAGTACCTTTTATGACTACAATGCATTACATTCTTTTATTTCGTTATAATAATAATCTGTCTATATTATAGACAATTAGCATTCCAAAAAAGGGCTTGGATTCTGTTTCAATGAAAAAATGTATATGATTCCAATCTTTTGCCATTAAACCGTTCAAACTCAAAAATCTAATAAACATTTTAACACATTAAAGCACATCTAAGAGAAATCTTTTGAAGCAAACTCAAAAATCTAATAAACATTTTAACACATTAAAGCACATCTAAGAGAAATGAAGCAACGCGGATACTTTTATATAGAGAAGGAAAATATTTAAGAACATCGTTTTTAAATTCTTTGTTGTGTTTCTTACAAGAATTCTACAAGATAAAATGAAAAATTCCGATAGATGTTGACAATACCGAAATGGATCCGTAGTTATTTCCCATGCCTTTTTCTAGGAAATGAATTAAAATAAATTTTTACTTTTCTCGCATTGTTCTTAAAAATATGGATACCTCTTAATTACCTTATTGCATTTTAAATAAAAGCTTATACGACTAGAAGAGACTCATTAAGTAAAGCGAAAATAAAAAATTCATAGAAAATTGTTGGTGTAATAAATGAAAGCTGAATGCGCTTCGGCGAAGCTGATCGTAGTGTTTGTTCCTTTTTGGCATCCAACAAGAGAAAGAACACTGGTTTCGAGGGCGTAGGGGGAAGGACTCTGATCTCTGTCGAAACACATTTATTTTAAACTTTCACTTATTAAGTTAACATTTAACACAAAACTATTTTAGTTATTAAAAGCATATATGCCTTCTATATTTCACATAAAAATATATTAGTATAAATTAAAAATTATGCAAAAAATATGTTTTAAAGTAAAAACATATATTTAAGTGGGAAAATTAAGATAAAAGAAAAGTAATACCCACTTAAGGTTTTTTTTTTTAAATATTTGTTACACTTCCTGTCCCGAAGAAATATTGATGAAAAAGGGGATACTACTTACTAAGACAGTTCCTTATATACTTTATCTTTGCAATTTTATACTTTCTAAGACATAAATGTTATCATGATATGCATTATTTTGAAACATAATAATGCATATTTTTGCAAGTATTTGTTTTATTTGTTCCTAATTTATTTTTATGCAAGTGAACTTATTTATTAATCTTATATAAATAAAGGTTTTATTTATTTGTATATGTATTCTTGTATGACAGTTTTATGTCAATTTTATTGGGTATTTTCATTTAATTGAATTTGTGATAACTTATTGCATTTCATATATTATGCTGTAGATCTTTAAATTCACAGTTGATTGACTTTTGGATTATAAGCACAGTTCAAGCAGAACCAGAGATATGGGTACAAACCTCCTTTTTAGAGAGTGACAAAATTTGTCAAGTTGGAGATATTTTGCGATTTCTAAACAACTTGCAGACATGATGGAAGTTTCCGAACAAAGCATTATCGAAACCTTAGGAAAGATTTTTCTTTAAGCTTCTAGAAGTGCTTACCCTCCTTTTAAACCAACCCTATAAAAAAGCGGTTGTGAGTGGCCTTCATTCAATCAGGGAGTTCAGTAGTAAGAGTTAGATTGAGACTCTTAGTGTACTTAAATTCTTGAACTTCAGATCCGTAAATTACTGCTTTGGATGTGAGCGCTTTTGGTGATATGCGATATTCCTAGAATGCTGAAGAAAATTTCGTTTTATCTCTGTTTTTAGCTTTGAGTTATTTATAGTTGTTTATGTTTATGTATGTCATTTATCTCAATAAAGATTTAAATCTTCCTGTTCCTCTGGTCTACTTATTTAAAAAAAATCTTTGCGAATTCGCAGCATGCAATAATGCATTCGCAGATATAATATAATGCGATGTTGTATGTCGCGCCCACCAGTGGCCGAGCGGTAAAATCGCTGAAACATCGTTAAAACATCGCTGGTAGCTCCGACCTGGTTTGATTTCCATGTGTAACGTATACTATCCCTTAGAAAGTCCTCCACGAAAGCATCCCTCCCCTTAGACAGATAGCTTTAGTGTGCTTTGTCATCATAATCAACTAAACCAAGCCTATTGTACGTACGTCGCTTAACATTCGAAAAAAAAAAAAAAAAAGGAAGGTTACTGAATAATTATAGGGCTAAAGATTACCAAACACCGGAGTTTGACATCAAACTTCAATACTTTAACCTCATAGATTTATAGAAATACTTTCACATGAAATTTCAATGACTTAACCGAGTCCTCCACAACAGGTAACAAAAGACTTCTTGTCCCAAGCACAATGACCTCAAAACTTGAGTTCTATCGATAATTAAATTTAATGATAATTTATCAAGATTCTGTAAGTACAAATACAAATTTCAGAGGGATGATTAAAGCAACTTTCGGTGATTTTAAGATTAGAAAATATTTTAATTTTTATTTAAACGGCTAATCCAAATGTTGTTGTTGTTAAAATGTTGTTGTTGAAAGTTGAAATTCGGCTTTACAGTCAAACGAAAAAAAAAAAAAAAAAAAAAAAAACTTTATTAAACTAAATCAACATTGGGATAATGACTTGATTTTAGGTTAGGTTATTTAATTACGGCAAAGCCTCGAGGGCTATCTGCCTAAGGGGAGAGATGCCTTCGTGGAAGACTTTCTAAGGGAAACTGGCTCGTATACATGTTACACATGGGGAAAAACACGAAAACACCCAGGCAGCCAGCCCATTTGTGGGATTCGAACCTCGGACCGAGCTACCAGTGTTCAGCGACTTTACCACTCGGCCGCTAGTGAACCGACTTTTAACTTGAAGTATACAGTTAGATGAACTTTTCATGAGAGAAGACCCAATTTACACATTTTATGAAGGAAAAAACTAACATACTTATTTTTATATTACATATGAATCATTTTAAAGTGATATGACTATACCATATTTCTTAGCTTCTAAGATGCACCTCTTACTATGAGCGCAATCAGTAGAAAAAAAGATTTCATTTAATATAAATTGAAATAAATAAAATAAAATGCGTAACTACGGCCTCCCAGACGGTATAATGGTTAGGGAAGCCTAACTGCGATACCGAAGGGCCTGGGTTCGAATCCCGGAGAAGGCATGGTCGTAACGTCCGTCCATTCATAGGAGACGATGAGGGCCCACTTATTAGGTGCCTCCATAAAAAAGAGGCCGCCGCAGCTGGCCTTTTATAGATTAATGGTCTGTGTTACACTGTAACTGTTCACAATCTGCCAATGGAAAAAAATTAGCAAATATTTTTATTAATCTAGTTTGATTTTTTAACAACAACGTTTACTGTATTTAAATTAGTGTTTTGAAAAAAAAAAAAAAAAAAAAAAAATGTGTTGCTTCGGAACAATTAATATTTCGAAAAAAATCTCCATTCTAAGAGGCCACAGATTCTAAGGTGCACATGGTTCTTAGTAAAATTTCCGCATGAAAAATGTGTTTTAGAATTGGAGAAATACGTTAACAAAATCATTAAAATATTAATTTTTAAGAATTGCAACGAGCCAATTTTTACAAACCTACAACTCAAATACAAGCATTAAGTTTTGCATATCTAAAATCTATGTGTGCTTATATTTATAATAATAAAATCGGATATTGCATTCCTATTAAATTATTCTTTTCCATTTAAAAAACATTTTAATTTAATTTTTTGCTAACAACAACTTACTAATCCATGATCTTCACAACAATGCAAAGCCTGGTTAAAATTTTTCTGTTAAATGTGAGCTCTAATCTGTAGGTTAAAATTTTTTATTTCTCTTAAAGAAAAGAAGACAGCGTTACATTACGTATCTATTCGCTTAAGAACTTCGAGAATCGATTGCAAAATTAAAATGGGTCAACATTCATATAAACTTGAAAACAAGTATGATGACAGGTAGCTTCTTAAAACTGCAATGATTTTTAACAGTTTTTTACTCATTTGAACTCATTCTTAGTCTGAATGACGACACAATCGGAGGTAAGTTGTATTTTTAGATACATATTTTCCCCCCGCATCTCACTTGACTGATGTGCATTCCGACTTATTTTTAGAAATGTAGTTGAGGTTCATCCTTCTTTTTACTTTAACTCTCTTTTTGCATGGTACTATTTCTTCTACTTAGTTCTACAATGGTTGCAATCACAAGGGCGATGACATTGCACTTCGTTTACTGTTTAAGAAAAGTAAGATAAGTAATTATCAAAGTTTAATAAACCTGTTAACAAGGCGTTGGAATAAACATTACAGTAAAACGTAGTTTTGTTTTAAATTACATCCACGAATTGCTCGTAATTATGTAGAATAGTTTTGTTCAGACTTCTGTAGTTCAACTAATAATGCCCAAATAACAATTATATAATAGAAAATGAAATTGTAGTGAAATAAATTGGAAGTGGCTTTATTAAGCTACGTAAAGTTAAAATAAGCGCGCATTAGTTATATTAAGGTATATTAAGCGGTGTTGAAGATTTGAAATGCGTGTTGAAATGTTATCAGTTTATAAGTCCTACTCAGGAAGTCAGAAGTCTAAATGAGTCCAGAATCTAAAATAAGAATATGAAGTACACAAATGATACTACGTAGTTTATTATTTACTACATAAAAAAAGAAATTATACTTAAAAAGAAGCTGTAGCTCCGGGTACTCGAGTGCGAAACGAAGTTTCCCTCTAATAAAAAATAATATTTTGAGTATAATAATTATGTAATCTAGCAGCAGTGATTACCTGAATAATCCCCGACAATATAAGTAACAGTCTGAAGATGTCACAATCACTGATAAACAACAAAAGTCTACTTCAAGCTATCTATAAAACTGCTGTGGTTCCAGACGTTTAAATTGATGCCTTAATAAACACCAAAAGCTAAGCTGCTTTTGATCCAGATAATGTTTACAAAAAACGAGAATCACATAAAAGTTTTCCAGGGAAAAACTACATATTTTGGAGTTTGTAATAATATGAGTCTTTTAAAATGGTACGGAAACGTTCTGATGAATTCATAGTCATTTGCATAGTTAGAAATGATATCAAGTCTCTAGAACAGTAATTGGAAATTGCGTTAAGTAAGAAATTAACTAGAACTATTAATACACAATATGAAACAAGAGTTTAGTATTTTAGATTAAGCAAGATTTAAAACTGTGAAAACAACATTGACTCAAGTTATATGCCTCAAATAAATTTAACAAATATAGAAAAGTGAATTATGCAAAAATTGATCGACTTAATTATCCCAGCCGTATCTTGCATTAAAAGCAATAGCACCAATAAACAGAGAGTAGAAAATCGTAAAATCTTCAAAAAACGTTTAAGACCAAAATCTCACAGTTGTAAGTTGTATGACTTAGAAACGGCGGAATATGCTCGGATAAAGAGTCAATATCTTACAGTGAAACTGAATTTTCTAGATCTGCATAGAAAGACTGAAATCAAATTTTACTCCCTTATAATGAAAGTGAAATAATTTAGTATGCTCACAAGGATAAACACATTTAATGAACAGATGCAGCTCCATTGCTTCAGTGTTTAACATTCTTACGGATTATCCAGCATTGATAGCAGATTGGAAAAAAACTTCTAGATGATTTTTTACATTTCTTGTTCTAAATTTTTTTATTAGATTATTGTTAATTAAGAGATAGCTATGATTATAAATTATATAGTTACGATTATAAATTTTCTACACTTATATCTATCTATTTATTTGTAAGTGCAGTTGAGCTTAATTGTAATGCATATTAGAGAACCTGATAAAATTTCTCGTTGTAAATTAATTATATGTCACACTATCTGTATGCAAAAATGTGTAGATGAAATCATTATGGTTTTTGTTTTGCCCCTGACCTTCTTTTAGTTGTGATTTCTAATTCAGATTCTGTTGTAACTATACACAGTAATTTATATTACATACAAATTATATATTGTTTAGATATTAAAGTTCTATGCAATTCTTTTATTGATAATAAATTAACTAAAGTTGGTAATTAAAGAAAATTATTGTTTTAAAGCGGCTAAATTACCATTTTGTCTCCACTTTCCTATAAAAACATGGGGGCAAATAAAGACAAACGTCTTTAAAATACGAAAATTTCCCACTTTTTTTATTAATCACTTAAAGTGAAGGAAAAAAGGAAAAGGCCCTATGGTTAATAAGAAACAATTATCTCATCCATGGTTTTTACGGAGGTTATATGAAACAAGCAGCAAAGAGAAAGAAAAGTATAATGTCTAAGATCCATATGGATATATGCTCTTGTTACCATATTACTTTTGAGGACAACCGTAAAATAAATGTCGAAAGCTCATTCGCCTTTGTGCAATATATAAATCTAACACGATTGTAAACGTCCGAAAGACTATATTTCTCGAAGCTTGACGAGCGATTCAAACTGAGTGCCAAGACCTGCAGCCTAGCGGATCTAACATGATGAAGAATAGCTTTTTTACTGCCCAAAGACGGCCATTGGGTCGGACATTATGGCTGCACCCAGATATTTGGGTACATAATGCCTCTAAGTTTATGAGCAACTTAAGGGATGACATATCATTTCCTTCTCCAAAGCCTACGGGCTCATCTTTATAAGCACTGCACTGGGGGCGCATTCCTTAAGTAGGGAATACACTGGGTTATTTTAGAACACTGTAAAATGTGAACAGATACTCCAAGATAATAGATTTTTTTTCCTTCTTAAATAAGTCCAAGTTCTATGTGCGTGTGTATATTTATAAATAGCTAATATTTGGATAGCTAAGTCACGCAATGTTT